ATGGGAGGCTGGTAATGGAGGCCAACCTTGAAGTCAGGGAAGCACTGATCTATAGCCTCATCTTAATGGTGACTGCTGCCTTCATATTTGTGAAAACCGTATTATGTGACACCATAGACAGAGAACCATACAATTATCATTGCAATGGTTACATTTCATATCTTAATTGACTAACTATGGGCAAGCACTAGTCATTTCTGCTACAGAAAATGTTTGTGGTAGGTTTTCCAAGCAGAGAAAACTGGGATACACACACACAGACACACACACACACACACACTTGTAAACATAACATTTTTATTTGAACTCTTCTAGGCTAATGTGGCTAGACTATATTCAGTATGAAAGAAGCATATTCAAGGTAAACCTAGAGTGGAGAACAAGTTTGTATAGAATTCTGATATGTGGACATTTAAGACATAAAATATGAGAGAAAAAGTGATAGAGGATACAATCTGGTTGATAATGTGTTTAAGTTGTTGCAATATAAGTTAATGCTCAATATCAAGGTTTACATACATATATAATAGACTGCCCCTTTCTTTAATATAAAGACAATTAGAGTACTCCATGGTATATGGAGGTGAAGACAGACCTCAGCTATTTCAAAAGAAAGGTAAGAAGCTGCATAAATGGAGAACTTTTGATTACATATAGAATTTGGTCAACAATAGGCAAATTAAAAACTGATTTTACCACCAACCAGCAGAAATTCAAGAAAGCCTAAAGTCCTATATTTAGGTTAGCTCATTCCTGAACCTTATACAACACTAGGTCACTGCCAATGAGGTAGGAGGAAAACTAGGAGAGGATAGTTTCACAGAGGTAAGAAGAGTGTTTTAAGTAGGTTGTGAATTGGTGTAGGATTTCATTACTGTCCAGTGACACTCAAGTGTCCATGTTAGGCTTTCTCTACCATAGCACCACCACTCTTTACAGTGTTGAGAAATACATACCTCACCCTTCCCCTTTCAGGGGTATAAAAATGTACTAGACTGATGCAAAGGATGATTTACATATAGCACTATTTTAGGACAATGACCATTTCTGTGAATAATCAATGGAAGATGTACAAATATTTGAAAATGGAAGGTTATCACTGGTTAATGATCATAAAAATAGCGTAAGGCTTCTTAGTGAAGGCAATGTGATTTACTCACTTGAAGGGGGAGGTGTGGACTTTAGACATTGCTATGGATTCAAGAGTTTGTGCCCACATCCAATGCATATGTTGAACCCCCAAAATGGTTCCAGAAATTGCAATGCAATGGTTTTAGGAGATGGGTCCTTTGAAAGGTAATGAGGTTTAAATTAAGTTATTTTAGGATGTAGCATGAAGGCAGTTTCTGCAAGCCAGGAAAAGGGCCCTCCCCAGAACACAGCCATGCCGGCTGTCTGATTTTTTTATTTTTTAGTGTTTAAATATGTGAAAAGTAAATTTCTTGTGGCATTTTGTTATTGCATCCTGTGCAAAGAAAGACATCAATTTAGCTTTCTTGTAGTTCTCTGGTGCTTGGTAATCTCCTGACCCACATCTTTGTCATGTGATCTCTCTCAAGCCAGTACCTCTCCTCCCTCTAGTTTTCACCCAGAGATGGCCCAATCTTCCTCCACTGGAATTCTTTACAGACAGGATGGATGATCATTTGAATCTTAATAAACATTATAGTAAATCAAAAAGAAATAAACCTCTATTTGTTTAGGTGACCTTAAGAAGAATATGAGTAGTAAGATCAGTATCCAAGTTAATATGTGTTGAGGATCAAATGAGAACAGAAGAAGTAAAGTTGTGTGGACAACTCTTGAAAAAATTTTTATTTCTTTTTTATGAAAAGGAATAGAGAAATGGATGGTGGAAGATGAAGCTGAAGTTAAGTATATAGCTGAGGATATTTTTAAAGATTCAAGTAATAAAGCATTTTTATATGCCAGTGGGAACAATTTGTTAGCAAAGGAGGAGATTGATGGTGTTGGGAACATAGGGGATATTATGTCTTTAAAAAGGGAGAGAGACAGGCAGCCAGATGCATAAAATAAAAGTCATACAAACACCCACACATTTAGCATTTATTGTTTTTTTCTCATAATAAAATCAATATATATATTTGAGAATTTTTAATTACAGAAATTTAAAAGGAAGAAATAATTTTAAAGTCACTCACATAACTATATGTTTTGCATGTGCTTATCTATTGTTTCTATGCATGTATTTACATGCTATGGAACTTCTAAAATTAAACTAATCATTTTCAACCTGATTTTTAATGTAATCATAAAAATTATAAGCAAGATTATATCAAACTACATTCTTTTATTAATATGGAAATACTTTAGAGTAATTAGTAAAGCCTTAGACATTGATTCTGGAATTCTAAAAATATTTTAACTGTTATTTCTGATTTAGAACTACCATGTGAGTTCTGAGATGAAGTCATTAAGATAATTTTAAACTTATTTATGCTGATTTATATTCCCTGGGAGATAATTGTGATACTATCTCCCCACCACACTACAATATTTTTTTTTTGACTATTTTAATAGCTTAAAATTGAATTAATGTATTTATTGTTCAATTCAATGCTATTGGTTTATGTCACTTAGCTACTAAACTGAGTTGCTGTAAGAAATCCAAATTTTAACTAGTTTATAAGTTAAATAAAGAAATCAGTCTAGAATACCTGATTTATATTGGATTCACCTTATATTAGAGTCACTCTTCAGAATATTTCCTCTTTTACAAAGAAACTTCATCTTTTATTATGTTGGAAAATAGAATAAATTAAAGTAACATCAGATGTGAAATACTCCAGTGAGTTATAAACCTTTTGTTGAAAAGTCACATTTAATTTTTGGGCTATGAATTTTAGTTTATATTCATATTATAATTTATGGGCTACAATACTGATTTAGAATAATTATATCTGTAAAGTTTCTCACAACATATTGAACCTTAAGAGAGTTTCTCAGTTTAAAAAGAATGATTAAACATACTGGAACAATATAGTTTCCGTATAATCCATTATTGTGCATGTATCAAAACAAATACATTTAAATTAATTTTTATTATAATAAACTTCCTTGTAAATATACAGACAAGGCAAGCAGACATTCTCAACTTTTTTGTGCCTTTTATTGACAGTCTGATATAGCCTATAAACCCCTTATCAGGATAATAAGACATTTCTGTGTGGTCAAAAATTGATTCCTGTGGCATCCCAGGTGTTTCTTGCTGCCATTCTTTTTTAGCCAGTTCCAACTGGGGGCAGCCCCAAATAACGTTTTTAAATTGCGTAAAATAATATGAATAGGGAAACACAAAAACAATTTTGAGGAAATATAGTTCTGTTCATGGGCTATAGATTAAAGACCCCTGATTCCAGATTTTGATTAGCCCTTTATTAAAGGTATTTTTAAATGCCTTTTTTTATGAAAAGGAATAGAGAGTACCTAAATAAGTTTTTTTAATACATAAGAGAGTACCTAAATAAGTTTTTTTAATACATAAGAACTGAACTAAGATATATTCATTAAACACATATGCATTGAAGCCCTTAAATTGCAGCTTGTGCAGGTATTTTATTTTTCCTTTATATCCAGAAGAAAGATTTATTATCAATTTAGGAATGAGTCTAAATAGCCCTTGAGGAGATTTCTTTTATTGTAACTTGTCTACTTCTCTATAATATATAAGAGAATTGTAAAATCTTGATTTGAGTCTATATGCAAACTTTGAGCATTTTGGCACACTGTAGATTTTGAGCCATGCCCAAACTGTAGAGTTGAGTTATGGATTGGTTAATTAAAGTTATGAATTGAGTAACAAAGAAGATACAAATGAAAGAATACAAAGAAGGAGCTCAAAAGAGACATATTTGGAAAATAAGGTAGGATGTGAAAACAAGAATCCCACAATAAAACTATAAAACTGAAAGCATGAGAGGAGAAAAATAAGAAAAGTAAGGACTTACATTATTCAGCAGGTTGCTCTCGACAATTTTTCAAACACTGGAATATTTGGAAATTACTTCCTATTTCCATACTTTGTGTGGCATTACATAATTCATATGAATAATTGTATCTTATTCATTTAAAAATACAAAAGAATGGTTGAATTTATTTTAAGTCCTATATAATATTTTTCTCATTAAATGTACATTATACTTCCATTATTTTCACATCCTAGCATTTTTCATGGAAGGGGTAAACATACGTTTGAATTAAATAAAAGACATATTGTATGGACAAATTTTGGAAACTATATCAGTAGGTGTTAGTTTCACATTTACAAAGAGTTTTCTTTTCCTTTCTTCCTCAAATGCTGTTTGCAGTCTTTGGTCTGCACTGACTGAAACTGTACATTTTTCTCTCCAGTTTCTTTTATTTCTCAGACATCTTTTTGCTTATGCATTTACTTGATTTTTTAACTTTCTCAATGATTTATGGAGTATGAATTTAGTAAGATCAGGTGACAAACAAAAAATTTCTTACATTATTAAAACAGAGGCTATATTATACATATAACATAACCCATATATATCTTTTCTTACTTGTATTTAAATAGTTGTGATTGCCACTCAGTCACTTTTGGAGAAAAACTTAAAAAGCACGCTGAGATCAGGACTGTGTTGTGGTTTCTTAGTCTTAATTTTTGCCATCTTTTTGCCTTAGGTGTTGGTTATTTTAAATATCATATTTAGTAACATAATAATATTGCTCTTTGTTTTATTATACACAGAGAAAGTGAAAAGAAATGACAGAAAAGGCAGATGCTAATTTAGAAGTTCATGATTAGGAGAAAATTTTCAGTACATTTCCTGGTTATTTTTTTTTAATAAGTGAGACTTTGACAATGTGATTTCTAAAAAGAATAAGAATGATAACTGAAACTTAAATCCTGCTTTTTTTATATGTAATATGTTGCAGCTTTGTTCTTGTCTTTCCCAAGTGGATAAATTCATTACCTTGCTTTTCTTTATATTACTTCATGTGTAATCTGTCAATTACAGAGAGAAATATCCATATATAAGTGGATCAAAGCATGGGTTTAAAAAAGCAAAGAGAAAGAAGAAATGATTTACTGGGTCTGAGACCCTGTTTAACATTTCAGGATCAAACCAATACCAAATTCCTAGGACATAGTAGGGAGTCCAGCAGACAATAAATGAAGTGGCAAATGCAACAGTCATCTTCAAGGTCTTCAGCCGTGCTCTTGGTATATTGTTCTTGGATTGATTTAATTGTAGTTCTATTAGGGAAAAAGAGTAGGTGTTTAAAGATAATTTTTCTCATACAACCAAAACAGTCCAAAAGAGAAACTCACTAATTCAACCTAATAAATATTATAGGAGAAAATTTCTAGCATTTTAAATAAGGACAATTTATTTAAAAAGCATACTTTTATTGTTTTACACTGTATCACATAAAGAATAGAAAATATTGAAGAGGCATGTGTTCTTTAAGTTTACAACAGACTAATCTGTATTTAAAATTTGAGGTACCCAAACAATTGAAATATAAATTTAAGAAAACAGAGGCTAAGCTGAGTTGAATTCCGATTCACTGGGTGTCCCTGCCACTAAGGATAGTAAGAATGATGTATGGATGAAAGTGTGCTGCTCCAAATTATCTACTTCAGCCATGTTTCTTTCTATGATACCTGAAATAATTCCACTTTTAATGTAACTTTTAGAGTTCATAGGTTATTCTTGTGAAGAAAGTTATTGAAATCAATGGAATTGCTGACTTTAATCAGCTCCCTTTTAGAATTTAAAGACTTAGTTTTTAAAGTTATAAGCTGCAGTTCTAAATGTTCAAAATCTGTTCTTATATTTTGTAATCCAAAAGTTCTATTTAAAAATAAGAAATACTTTTCACATATTATATATTTTGAGGGAAACATACAATGCTATTTAGAAATTATTTACAGTTTCTTTTTCACTGATCACCTAAGAGTGGAAATATGGAGGAAAACATTTATATTTATGTTATAAAGTTAATTTTTGACTAGAAATGTTAAAATAAATACTTTATTGAATATAGACTGGTCATGATTTTTTTGAGCAGACAAAACTAATTACCATTTAATGCATCCCTTGCTATGGGCCTTCCTCTTTTCACACATTATTTCATTCAATCATTGATATCTGTAAATATTATGTATATTAATAAAGCAATCATGGAATGAACACATTTTTTTAAAAAAGCTTCTTGGCTTAGCACAATGGCTGAATGTGATAAAATATAGATACAGCATGCTGTACTTCTTCTTTAGAAATATTATCATACTTGATTATTGGTTTACTGTTTGTTCTCCGACTTTTGTGCTACACTATGGACTCTATGAAAACAGGATAGATTAGGCCACCTAGTATGGTTTCCAGCAGTATCAGACAGTGCATTTTAGTTAAGTAAATAAAAAAGTAAATGGCTAAAAGTGTTAGTAAATATGTAACTATTACTCCTGTCTTTTTCTTCTATCTCTGTACTACTCATATTTCTTCTGATTAACCCCTATTTTTGATTCATCTTCTTATTCCACATGTCCCATTCTTAAACAATCCTTACATAACTGAATCTCTCTTGGATAAGATTTGAGAAGCAAATTGGTTTTGCACTATTCTTTTTGTTTTTGAAATATTAAATAGCATTTTGGGATGGCAAGTGGAAACTTACACAGCATCACTATAATTATTTCCTTTTGATAATATCTACCCAAACTGATCATTCCTTAATAATTAAGATGATTTCCCTATTTATTTATACCAGATATGACTTATATACTGTGCCATTGGTAGCATGTCTTTGAGATGTCATGCCAAAATATCATGCTTATTTCATAAATTTTAGTTTTGGGAGTGCACCAGATTACTGAAGAAAAAAAAAGGAAAAAATGTGTAGCTACATCTATGATATTTTGGATGACATAATTACATATTTAACATTGTTTGACTTGTGAATACACACATATATGCATACATTCACATACACATACATGTCATAATTTCTGTTTGTGGATATTAAGGGAATTTGAATCAGTTTAACAAATGTTATGGTTTAGATGTGAGGTATCTCCCAAAAGCTTATGATTCTATATAAAGCAAGAAAATAGGTGAAATGTTTGGATTATGAAAGCCTTAACCTAATCAATGCATTAATCCCCTGATAGAGATTGACTAAGTTGTGATTATAGGCAGGTAGGGCGTAACTGGAGGAGGTAGTTTGATGGGGGTATGCCCTTGGAGTTTATATTTTGTCCTTTTGGGTATCTCTCTCTCTCTCTCTCTCTGCTTCCTGGTGTGAGCTGCTTCCTGGTGTGAGCTGCTTCCTGGTGTGAGCTGCTTCCTTCCACCACACTCTTCCACCATGATGTTCCTTTTTTTATTGATTTAAATTTTTTGTAATTTGTTCTTTTTAGATATACATGACAGTAGAATGTATTTTGACATATTATACATACATGGAGTGTAACTTCCCATTCTTGTGGTTGTACATGATGCAGAATTACACTGGTTGTGTATTCATACATGAACATAGGAAAGTTAAGTCCGATTCATTCTACTGTCTTTCCTGTTCCCATCCCCACTTCCATAATGTTCTGCCTCACCTCAAGCTCCAGGGAATGGAGCCTGCTGTCTATGGACTGAGACCTCTGAAACCATGAGCCCCCAAATAAACTTTTCCTTCTCTAAAATTGTTCTTGTCAGGTATTTTGTTCATAGTGGTGAAAAAACTGACTAAAACAACAAATTTATTGGCTAGCATTTAATAGGTTGTTTGCTGCATTCTAGATATTGGGTGTTGATATATTATTTCACAGCCCAGCAGTAACAATTTTCTAATGCTTATTCTAAGTTTTAGTGGAGTAATTATTTTTTCTTTAATTTCTCGATGTAAATTTAGAACATCAGAAAATATTGTCTCATGTAAATAAGGAACATAATAAAAGAATTACCTCATGGGGTGACTGTAAATAATAAATGAGCTAATATATATAAACTTTATAGAACAGTATCTGGCACATAGGGTAAGGGTCATTATGCTTTAGTTTTGTTATTTAAAAATTGTTTGCACATAATTAGCACTCAATCCAAATAATACATACTGTGGGGATCATGATGAAGGACCCGTGTCAGGGTGACGATGATTTTTGCATTGCAGATCAACATGATGAGAAGAGGGATAATGAAGAGGCAGCTGAAAGTGAAGAAGTTATAAAAGGCTTGATGCCACCATTGTGGAAAACTGCAGTGTGTTACACATTGAGAGAAAATTTCTGTTTGTGCAGAACCATCTCTTAGGTGGATCATCCTGAATATATATAACTGTATGAGAAAATAAGGAAAAAAAACTTATGTTATTTTTTTAAACACTATTTGGAAACTTTTTTCTTGCATCCTGCTATCCTTCTAATATATGTTACCTAAAGCAATTTCTAAGCTCCTTGGTATTTTTTTGAGCATTTCTGTGTTAACTTATAATTGGATATATACTTCAAATATATTTAAGTAAGTATGAATGGAATGATAGTATTTTGGGTTTTTTTTTGGAAATTATTCAATGTTGCAGAATAATCATCACCCAAGATTCTAAACCTTGTCCGTTCTTTCATTTTCAAGTACAATTATGTTGAATTAACTTTTTGCAAGTGATTTTGCTTATAGTGTATCCGCATTGCCGAAAACAGGGTCTGACTCTTTAAATACATGTTTAAAATTTATTTTAGAGGTGTGTGTGGGGGACCCAACATGGCGGCGGGCGGGGAGGCAACGCTTTCAGTACCTCCTCAATAATGGGGTCAGAGAGTCACATTAATATGCTCAGATTCTACCTGCTAAGAAACTTCTAGCAAAATTTCGCTGAACTGAGACCTGCTGGGAATTAGTAGGATTATTGGAGATGACAGTTTGCCCCAGACGAGTGAATCTCCGCCACACGGCGTGGAGGTCCAGACCCGCCACCCGCCGCTGCTGCGCAGCGACCAGCCTCCGAGGTGGCTCAGCAGGCGTGCAGCAGGGACCCTATGAAGAGGTCTCTAACCAAACCTTCATGAAATAGCGAACCCAGAACTGAAATCAACCGAGACCGGGTCAGACCAGAGACAGGCCAGTCCCACCCCTCCTTTCGGACACTCCAGCAAGGAGCCTGGGGCCCGCCATAGCAGAGAGGTGACGTCACCAGAGTTTGGCCCATGGAATTCCTTCCCAGCGGAATCCGCTTTAGCAGGTGTGTGACTCCCACCCCCACTAGATACATACAGCCGGGAAACCTCAAAAATCTCTCCGTGGGCATGACTGTAGGGACCGAGGGACTCCCGACCCCCAAATCCCACTGCCGCCAGCAGTGTGGGCGTGACTGTAGGGGCCGAGGGAAGCAGAGGGGATTCTTGATTCCCAACTCTGCTTACCACCAGTGGCGACACCCAAGGTCTTAGCCGCCAGTTTCTGAGGGTGTGCCCACCAAAAATTAAACTGTCAGTTCCCAGATCACCGCTCCACAGCACTGGGGCTTAGATGAATGACAGAGAGAGTGCTCAGTCATTCGGGAAATAGGGCACGCAGTGGGGCTGCAAGTGTAACCAGATCCTTGGGGAACACCTCTGGTGAGCGGGGCCTGGCTGGTTGGCAGGAGGAAGGGGGGAGGGGCCAGAGAAGTGAAACGGCTCTGGACTAACAGGATTGAGAGACTCCCGGGAGCCGCCCTACAGGAATTGCTGTCAGCACATAGAGGGCAGAAGCTCGGCTTGGAGGGCACAGCTCCGCCTACTAAAAGAGAAGAAAATGGATCTCTAAGACTTCATTTTTTAAAAAATTTCTATTTTATTAGTTTTTTTCTCCCCTGTTCCTCCTTTCTTTCTTTCCCTTGTCAAGTTTTATTGTTCTTTCCATTCTCTTCTATTCTATCTATCTCTCCCTCTTTCTTTTTAAGAGCACCTTCTTTCCCCTTCCCCCCAACATTCATCCCAAGCATTATGTCTTCCATTATGTGTAATTGTCTAAATGCAAATAGGTAAATGTTTCGAGTCTGTCTATAGGGCTCCTAAATACCTAGCTTTTACCAAACACCCTGATCCAATCACCTGTTAATATCCCCCTTCAGTAGAGCAATCTTCCAAAGTAGCCAAGACATACTAACCCTCATACCATCATAGCACCTAACCTAAACATAAAGTCCTAAGACCAAACAACAAATTACTATATGCATACAGAATCCAGAAGCCTTTTATGAATTGAATAAATCAGCTTTAAAATACAATAAAGCCCAACATTTCTAGGCATAGTCTCCCACCACAAAGGAGAGACCACCGAGATATACAAAACCAAAACAAATTTATAGGAGAAAACAGAAACACAGCAGTTAAACAGAGTTGGAAAGTAACGTGAACAACATGAAAAAACAAGGGATAAAAGGATTACAAACAATGCAGGACAACATAAATCTACAGGAGAACCTAGAGGCATCAGAAAAATGGACAGAGAAAGAACTCAAGGCATACCTGACTCAGATGGAATGGAATCTTAGAGAAGTCATTAGACAGCAAGTTGAAACAATGAAAGAATACTTTGATAACGAATTGCATAAGCAAATTCAAATTGCAAAGAATGAACTCTACCAGGAGATAGAGATTTAAAAAAAAAAACCAACCAGTAATCCTAGAAATGCAGGAAACCATAAACCAAATTAAAAACTCAAACGAGAATATTACAAATAGACTAGATCAAATAGAAGTCAGAACATCAGATAATGAAGACAAAGTTTATCAACTCGAAAAGAATATAGTCAATGCAGAAAGGATGTTAAAAAATCACGAGCAATGCAACCAAGAGATATGGGATGTCATAAAAAAACCAAACTTGAGAGTCATTGGGATAGAAGAAGGTATAGAGGTTCAAACCAAAGGAATGAACAATCTGTTGAATGAAATAATCATAGAAAACTTCCCAGGTATGAAAGATGGAATGGATTGCCAAATCCTGGAAGCCTACAGGACCCCAAATATACAAAACCGTAATAGACCAACTCCAAGACACATAATTATGAAGATATCCAACATACAGAACAAGGAGAGCATATTAAAAGCTATGAGAGAAAGGAGGCAGATTACATTCAGGGGTAAACCAATTAGGTTAACGGCTGATTTTTTATCACAGACATTGAAAGCGAGAAGATCCTGGAACAACGTATTTCAAACGCTGAAAAATAATGGATTCCAACCAAGAATACTGTATCCAGCAAAATTAAGCTTCAGATTTGACAATGAAATTAAAATATTTCATGATAAACAAAAGTTAAAAGAATTTGCAGCCAGAAAACCTGCACTGTAAGGCATTTTGAGCAAAACACTACAAGAAGAGGAATTGAAAAACAGCACCCAAAACTAACAGTGGGAGGTATCTCAGTAAAGGGGGAGAAAAATAACCAAAAAGGAAAAACTAGCCAAATTAAAATAAATAAATAAATAAGCATGACTGGAGGTACAAATCGCATATCAATAGTAACCCTAAATGTTAATGGCTTAAATTCACCAATCAAGAGACATAGGCTAGTAACCTGGATTAAAAAAAAAAACAGATCCAACAATATGCTGCTTCAGGAGACTCATATGATAGGAAAAGACATACACAGGCTGAAGGTGAAAGGTTACGAAAAATCATAACACTCACATGGTCCTCGGAAGCAAGCAGGAGTGGCCATACTCATACCAAATAAAATCAACTTCAAACCTAAGTTAATCAAAAGGGATAAAGAAGGACACTATATACTGTTAAAAGGAACCATTCACCAACAAGACATAACAATTATCAATATGTATGCACCAAACAATGGTGCTGCAACATTCATAAAACAAACTCTCCTCAAGTTCAAGAGTCAAATAGACCACAACACAATAATTATGGGTGAGTTCAACACACTGCTCTCTCCCTTGGACAGATCCTCCAGACAAAAGCTGAATAAAGAAACTATAGAACCCAACAACACAATCAATAACCTAGACTTAACCAACATATATAGAATATATCAACCATCATCAAGTGGATACACGTTCTTCTCAGCAGCACATGGATCCTTCTCAAAGATAGACCATATATTATGCCATAGGGCAACTCTTAGTAAATATAAAGGTGTGGAGATAATACCATGCATCTTATCTGATCATAATGGAATGAAACTGGAAATCAATGATAAAAGAAGGAAGGAAAAATCCTGCATCACCTGGAAAGTGAACAATATGTTACTGAATGATCAATGGGTTACAGAAGACATAAAGGAGGAAATAAAAAATATTCTAGAGATAAATGACAATACAGACATAACATATCGGAATCTATGGGACACAATGAAAGCAGTTTTAAGAGGGAAATTCATCGCCTGGAGTTCATTCCTCAAAAAAAGAAAAAAACCAACAAATAAATGAGCTCATACTTCATCTCAAAACCCTAGAAAAGGAAGAGCAAAACAACAGCAAATGTAGTAGAAGACAAGAAATAATTAAAATCGGAGCGGAAATCAACGAAATTGAAACAAAAAAAAAATTGAAAAAAATTGATAAAACTAAAAGCTGGTTCTTCGAAAAAATAAATAAGATCGACAGACCCTTAGCCATGCTAATGAAGAGAAGAAGAGAGAGAACTCAAATTACTAACATATGGGATGAAAAAGGCAATATCACAACGGACACTACAGAAATACAGAAGATAATTAGAAATTATTTTGAAACCCTATATTCCAATAAAATAGAAGATAGTGAAGATATCGATAAATTTCTTAAGTCATATGATCTGCCCAGATTGAGTCAGGAAGACACACACAATTTAAACAGACCAATAACAAAAGAGGAAATAGAAGAAAGCATCAAAAGACTACCAACCAAGAAAAGCCCTGGACCCGATGGGTATACAGCGGAGTTTTACAAAACATTCAAAGAAGAATTAATACCAATACTTTTCAAGTAATTTCAAGAAATAGAAAAAGAAGGAGCTCTTCCAAATTCATTCTATGAGGCCAACATTACCCTGAATCTGAAACCGGACAAAGACACTTCAAAGAAAAAAACTATAGACCATTATCTCTAATGAACTTAGATGCAAAAATCCTCAATAAAATCCTGTCAAATTGAATACAAAAGCATATCAAAAATTGTGCACCATGATCAAGTATGATTCATCCCTGGGATGCAAGGCTGGTTCAATATACGGAAATCAATAAATGTTCTTCACCACATCAATAGACTTAATGATAAGAACCACATGATCATCTGGATAGATGCAGAAAAAGCATTAGACAAAGTACAGCATCCCTTTATGTTCAAAACACTAGAAAAACT